TTAGCTGGTTTGCATCAGAAGAGACAAAGCTTTCATATATTAATTTTTTTTCAAAAGTGCATTACCTGTTATAGACTTTTCAAAATGTACAGTATGGTTCTTGTGCTCAAAGATACCTACCTTTGTATTCCCAGAACTTTGATAGTTTTTAGTTAACCCATAACCCACTTTTGCACATCAATATTAAATCCAAAGATATATTCAACTATTTTAGCAGGACAATTACAATATTCCATAGTTCATTACATAAACCATTAAGACTCTGAAAGCGGGGTACTACATTTCTTTGAAATTGCTAGTTTATCCTCATAACCTAGCCTTAGAACTGTAGCAACAGATCCCACAATTTTTTTTAGCACTGTTGGGGAGAATTTTCTTTCGAGCATAGGTCAATCAACCATCTCTTACCCTAATAATGGCCTAATTCTAGACACATACTTTAACCAGTAAACCTGTATATTTTTGTTGGATGGCAGAAGATGTTACTAAACAGATATTATAATATTGGTGTGGGAACACACACAATACAAGAAATATGCTCTTTAGTGTACAACAAAAAGCGACACTATAAATCGAGGAATTTTTTCAATGCCTGTGTGTGTACAATGTAGCTGTGATTTGTCTTTCCGAATTTTATCAACAAGACAGTTACACTCCTGCAATTATAGCAAAGAAGAATGAATGTTGCATTTTACATAAATAAATATATTAGTACTTAAATATTAAAGATACTTACTCTGTATGACACTGACTTTTTGACAAGGTTACTTTTTTGTGAAACATACAATCCTATCAAAAAGTTTGAAATCAAAATGGCACAAATCAGAATTTCAGATGAGAGCAAAGTATATGATACGATATCTAAGACAGTCTTTGTATCCCATGGAAGAAAAATAAGCAATGAAAGCAATACGACTTGATATACATTTGATCGTATTGTAAAATAATAAACGTCTTTGGACGGGAGACGTGTGTTCATGGGCGCAGACATGTTTTATGCATTTTTTACCTCCACAATAGAAGAGCTTATATGTTTATAAACATAGCGTTACGTCATTTCCTCTGTACTGCTTCAAGTTATGACATGAGAAAGTCAGCATCTGCTCTCTTTGAATTAATAGACTACTTTGTGATATTCAGGTGGAGAGCGAATATATTCACGATTTCGAATACATGATTTTTGTGGTTACAGTGTGAATAACGTTGTCTTTTTGGGACACGCCCCCTTTTGACAAGTGGCCACGTTGGTTTGACAGGTGGGCGCCTTCAGACACTGGCCGTGTAATTAGCAGTTTAATGACGGACATTATGCCATTTACGTACATAATGACATGAAAAGAAGACTTCAATAAGTGAATGTGGTCTATATAAAGTTTGGATTTGTTTCAGTAACAGCTGAACTATAGAGAACAGTACTGTGGACGTCGCAATGACGACAGAGAAAAAAACTGCAAATTTTCTTGATCTTCCGCATGAATTACAGGCTCTGATTTTCTCATATCTGCCGAATAAGGATATTTTTTCTGCATGTCTAGTCTGCAAGCAGTGGAATTCTGTAATTATGGATACAGAATTCTTGTGGAAGGTCAGGTGCAATACACTTCAAGAGTTACAGCCAAGAGTTAGAGATGACAAAGCAAAGGGCCATAGTTGGAAGGTATGACCATGTATTGTGATCAAATGTTTACTTATGCCTTAATGAACATTCTTTCTAATTGGACAATGATGTTTTAGAGTAATGAATATGTTGCACACAAATATTTTTCTTCAAATACTGCGGGCTTACCTTTTCCCTAGAGGGTTATAAATATGCAGAATCACAATAGCTATCTTATACCTGGCTGTAAACTTGAAAGAGTTATGCAGATTTCTAAGAATGCCGTAGGATGTATTTAAAATACAGTTTTAAGTATACAGTTACTGAAATTCAATTTCTTGATTTACCATAAACATGTATTCCGTTACAGGAGACCTTTAAGATGAACTATGGGAGGAATGGAGTGAAGAGGATGTGGCAGCTGGGATTCTTCAGTAACCCCGCATCCTATGATGATCTGCCTCAAGGGATTTTCAGCAACATGGATGTCGACTCTTGGGCTGATATATTTCAGCTAGAATTGGAAAGATCATAGCAAATGACTCTTTTTGGCATGTACATGTAAAAGTGATTTTATTTGGGATGGCTTTTGAAAGACATCTGAATATTTATTGTGGTTTTAGCTGCATTATAGTCTCAACAAATTCTGATTTTAAAGTGAATTGTGATTTTATAGTGCTGGGAAATTTTGATTTAAAATCATATTAACATGATTTTTAGTTTGTTTTATACATGTACATATATATACAAGTATACTGTAGCAAAATGGCATTCTTAGTATCTTCATTTCTTTTTATCTACAGATGATGTAAATTTTATTTTTTTTCCTGTTAGTTTTATCTTCGTGTTTTATGTTTAAGCAAGATAAATTATTTCTACTATTTTTGTTATTTCTTATTTAAGTATGTAAACAACTCAAAATCTATGTAGGAAGTCTCTATTATTATTTTCTCACTCGTTTCACTCCTCCAAAAATAAATATTTTCTTGACTAATTTATTGAAAAACAAGAAGTCTGTGAGCCAGTGCTCACTAGTAGTACCCCCCGCTCTGATGTGAACATATACCTTACATCATGTTAATATACACAAGTTCAGTTACGGGCAGATGCTCAGATAAATAGGAAGTTGCTGAGAAAACTGTGCAATAATTATTGTTATGTATGGTACGGACAGACGCATAGATAAACAGGAAGTTGACATCAGAAGTAAACAAAAATGAATCCCATCATATGGCATGCCTTTACAAAGAGTGTATTAAAATTTCACGGATCTGCGATGAGTAGTTGCTGAAAAAACTTCGGCGAAATTTGTTATACATGTATGAAACGGACAGACGCACGGATGGACAGGAAGTTGACACTGAATTTAAAAAAAAATGAAACCCACCATATGGCACGCCTTAGTAAAGAATGCGCTAAAATTTCAAGCATCTGTGATGAGTAGTTGCTGAGAAAACTGTGACCATATATTTGTTACGGACAGACAGACACACAAGTATACCCCAACTCATTTGGAGCGGGGGAATAAAAAAGATCCTTCATAAATCATTATACTAGTACTCAAAGGCTGTCAGTGCCGAGTACAGGTCTACATGTCCAGCCCTCCGCCTGTAAAGTGGTGGCACCTCAATATGGATGAAACTTTCTCGATGGGACGTGAAACAAAAACCGAATGAAGTCAATTAACGTATCTGTTAGAAGACTACTTTTCATTGAACATCTCGACAAATGCGGTCTGTCGTTCTATATCCATATCAAATACACCAAGTGTTGCTTCCTTTACAGGTTTTAACAGTTTTTTAGGCAGACCAAACGAGAATTATGTGTAGATCCTCATCCAGGAACATCGGTCTTGCATATTCTTGATTTAAAAATTACTCTATTTTGGACACGCTTTAAAGAAATATTCTCGGCAATTTCTTGATTTTTTATAGGAGCTGTGGCACGTATAGTCTCATAATTTCTCCAAACTTCGATGGCCTAAACTGAAATCAGGCAAAAAACTTATAACCTACTATATAGGTTATGGTTATCATGGCAACATGTCCTTAAGTTTGAAAAATGAAATAATATTTTCAAAAAGTGTCAGTGCAGTCTACACGCATTTCATAGATGCTCTGCAGATTTCATGCATTTCACCAAATTGAATACAGTCAAAATTTAGTCATTTTGTGGTCAAAATATATTGTTATAAGAATTTGATGCATGGCAATGGAACAGAATAAAAGAAGGGGCAGTTCTATTACGATCTGTTGCCAGCTTTATTTAGGATGCCATGAGAGTCAGTGTTGCGGCATATCCGCACTGGACATCATCTACAGCAAAGAAGACTTAGAGAAACTCATTCGCTGAGCCAACAGGACGCAGGAAAGCTACAAAAGCATGACAAATTTCGACGTATCGTTAACTTCTTACTATTCATATCAATGTATTAAGAATTGGTATCCAAGGCTAGACTCAAGAAAAATCTTATTTCTCTAAAACTGTGTTTATTTTTAACGGTACAAATGTCAACTTTTTTACAAGACCTTTTCGAAAACTTCAGAAAACGTCGAGTCGTGTTAAGAAGCATAAAATGAAAATTAGTGCATGCTTATTTTTTTTTCAATTTCAAGGTTCATGTTCAGACTTTTCAAATTAAACAATAATTTTAAGAGTTATTCTTACTACCTGAGGATCAAATATCTTTAAGCTAGCTGCAGAACTGTAGCGTTGTGGTTTTATATATTAGTTATTGGCCATAACGCTACAGATCCCGTAATTGCAAAAAAATGTGCAATTTACGGTGCAAGAATTTTTGCGCACTGTTGGGGAGAATTTCTCTACTGACCAGCATAGGTCAATCAACTACTCTTCACTCCCTAATTCAGGACATATTCTTTAACCAATCTGTATATTTTAATCGACTCTACATCGGAATAAACTAGCTTGATTAGAATTTTCTGTTAGGTTGCAGAAAATACAAACCAAGCGAGTTTATCGGCTGTAGAGAGAACTATAAAGGGTTGGGAGGCAGATAAAAGATACAGATTGGTTAAATAATGTATCTAGAAATAGGGAGTGAAAGATAGTTGTTTGACCAATGCTGGAAAGTGATGAAATTCTCCACAACAATGCGCAAAAAATCTTACGCCGTAAATTGCACATTTTTTGCATAAAATGATCTGTAGCGTTATGTGAAAGACTAATAGTCTAATATATAAAACCATAACGCTACAGTTCCGCAGCTATATAAAATGTTATTCCCATCCCCCCCCCCCCCCCCCCCCCGCACAACTTCTTCATAGAAGATGCACAAATGTAGAAGACCACTGTCAGTTTATCTTTGCACCCTCCAAAAGATAGAACATTAGGAGGGTACTTTCAGACTCGTCAGGACACTCTTATACCATTTACCGACAATCCAAGTCTCCATTATGCTGAAGCCATGGGAGTTTACACTGGTCAAGTGGATGTTGAAAGGCCGTTTGCCCCACATTTAATTTATGCTTTTGTCAAATACTTCCATGTTAGTGTAATTAAAAAAAATCTTAATTATCAGAAAAAGTTTAATCCTCCATTCCCTTTTCCATTGTTATCTCTATCTCAAATTATCAAAAAATTCGATTGATGTAAGATGTGAGTGGAAATAGACTTTTTAATAAGAAGCCAGGGGGCCAGAGCGCTCACCTGAGCACATCGGCGAGGGAAAAGCACATATCAGATCAGAACTAAAAGTTTACTGAGGTTGGGGGGGGGGGCTTGAATTTTACCCCTTCCCCCCACCGGGGGTGTCATGATTTGAATAAACTAGAAACTACACTACCCGAGGATGATTCCATATAAATACCACTAATCATGGCTTTGAAGTACTTGAAAAGAAGATTTTAAAAGGTTTCCCTATATATTCCAATGTAAAACTTTGGTTGGCCATTTTGGCCCCACCCTAGCCCCGAGGGTCATGATTTGAACAAATTTGAATCTACACTACCTGAGGATAATTTCACATGAGTTTCATCTTTCCTCTCTCAATAGTTCTAGAGAAGAAGATTTTTAAAGATTTTTCCTATATACTCAGTATTCCTATGTTAAACTTTGATCGGCCATTTTGACCCCACCCTACTCCCGGGGGTCATGATTTGAACAAACTTGAATCTACACTACCTGAGGATGATTCCACATGAGTTTCATCTTTCTTGTCTCAATTGTTCTTGAGAAGAAGATTTTTAAAGATTTTTCGTACATATTACTATGTAAAACTTTGATCGGCCATTTTTGCCCCATCCTACCCCCGGGGGTCATGATTTGAACAGACTTGAATCTACACTTTAATCTAATCTTTTTCCTATATATTCCTAGGTAAAACTTTTAACGGCCACTATGGGCCCACCCTAACTCCGGAGGTTATAATATGAACAAATTTTAATCTACACTACCCGAGGATAATTTCACACGAGTTTCATCTTTCCTGGCCCAGTGGGTCTTGAGAAGAAGATTTTTAAAGATTTTCCCTATATATTCCTATGTAAAACTTTGATCGGCCATTTTGGCCCCACCCTACCCCCGTGGGTCATGATTCGAACAAACTTGAATCTACACTACCTGAGGATGATTCCACATGAGTTTCATCTTTCCTGGCCCAGTAATTCTTGAGAAGAAGATTTTTTAAAATGCCATTTTATCTCCCCCTGGAAAAGGACATGGCCCTTCATTTGAACAAACTTGAATCCCCTTTACTCAAGGATACTTTGTTACAAGTTTGGTTGAAATTGGCCCAGTTATTCTTGAGAAGAAGATGAAAATGTGAAAAGTTTACAACAACTACGACGACGACAACGACGACGACAGACAACGGACAAATTTTGATCAGAAAAGCTCACTTGAGCCTTCAGCTCAGGTGAGCTATAAAGCAATTGTGGCGGTCCTCTTCCTACTTCTAAAATTGGGATTGAACTGTTCTTTGCACAGAAATTCCAGTAAGGTGAGCAAAATCAAAATATGATGTTTTATTGACTTTGCCCCAAAGTCAGACTTGACAGAATTTCTTTACATGTAGTTTGGCGATTTTGAGAAGGTTTAATCTTCGCTTTTCATGTCATTTTACTATGGCAAGTTCATTACTTTTTTTACGGTGAGAATAAAAGATCCGCATGTCTCTCTCCCCCCACCCTTTCGAAATCGGCTACTTTCATAATTACTGTTGCAAGTCCAATTACTGTTGCAAGTCCATTACTTTTTTCAAGATGAGATGAAGGATCCGAAGAATGCTAAATATATGATCCTCGCATCGAAATTACTTGTCTGGTTTCTTACTAGATAAAATATTCAAAGTTCTGAGTATATTTGCTTAAATATATTTTATATATTTAGAAGCAAGATATTTAAAAGATCATATTTTTCTTTCATCTGAAATATATAGTAAACTGAGTTTGAAATCTAGCAGGGACCATCTCCACGTTGATGCTATAAATAGAATATAAATAGGTTGGTGAACTTGTTTTTCGTTGGGTGCACTTTGATCTTTAGTCACGTGATTGTTTTGGTGGGAATTTTCTGCTGTTCTTTTGTTCCCATTACCGCCTTGAAAGTTGCCCTGTTGAATGTGCGTGTGAGATATATCATATATCTATTGAATCAAATGCATTGTTCTTAATAATACATGGATTTTTATTGATTCTTAATTCAGGTCAGTCTTCTCTAAATTAATGTAGTTTGTTCGATATTATAGAGCATGCTTGACAATTTTTTTTAAATGTGACTAGGTTGATAAATTGAGTTAACCAGTAAATGTAACACTCGAGTATATTTCGT